TAGAGGTGCAGGCTCTAGAATCTCACTCTGTCCCCTCCTCTGCCCAGCACCACAGTCCAGACACCTGGCAGAGGGGTTCAGACAAGACTCAGCCTATCATGTAGGAGACTGGCAGGTTGCTTAGAGAATGACGGGAGCCATGCTCAAGTGAGGGTGGACATCGGCAGATGGAAGGCTGTCAAGGAGCGAGAGGGGACAATGGCCAGGGGACCACGGGCTACATGACAAAGCGGGTTGGGTGCGTCTTCTAAAGTCTCTAGCACAGAAAGCCTTCCTGAGGCGTGTTTTCCTGTGCAGAACATCGACAGACATGTGGGTTAACTCTTAAGGGGGGGGGGGGAGATTATGTTGTGTCTATGTTCTTTGACAGAAAGTTCCTGCACACAGCAATTTTATATTCTTCTTAGCAACTGAGAAGTGGTTAGTGTTTTTAAAGTCATCTTCCCCTGTGGCCTTCTCTCTGAGATGTACACTGCGGTACTTCTTCCTTAGGGTGGTCTGTGTATGCTAGGGACAATGTGCATGTACCCAGGCCACTGTGTTGTATTCTGATAGCCAGATGAGACCATTAGACTGAAGATGACTCCCTCCAGCACTAGGGAAAGGACTGTTCTCTCTAAATCCTTTTATGTTTTTAAAATATTTAAGAGTTTTGCTAGATTGTTTGTTTCTCGGTGATAAAAGGATAATAATTTGATTTTATTAAGATGATAGGCAAAGAAAACATTAGGTCTGTTTGTTCATTTAAGTAAGGTAAGACCTTACTTAAACAACCATTAGGGGAAGACATATTTAAAGTCATATAGACTAAGTTAAAGCACTTGCCTCCTTCATCTGCTACCTTTGAGCCCCAGCACTCTCATCCCTCAGCTTGTTACTGTCTGTAACCCCGACACCCTCTTCTGGCCTCCATGAGCACTTGCAAGCATATCAGTGGCACATATTCACAATGCACAAACACACGCACACACACACACGCATCTTTGGGAGAGATGGCTCGGTGGTTAAGAGCACAGTCTGCCATACATGGATCTAACCTACATGGGGAGTAGAAAAAGACAACATCTCCTGAGTAAACTGGGAGCATGGGGACCACGGGAGAGGATTGTAGGGGAAAGGAGAGGAAGGGAGGGGAGCAGAGAAAAATGTATAGCTCAATAAAATCAATTTTAAAAAGACAAAAAAAAGAGCACAGTCTGCTCTTCCAGACCTGGGTTCTTCATTCCCAACACACACATAGTGGCTCACAACCACCCTGTAAATCCAGTTCCAGGGGGATCCAATGCCCTTTGACCTCTGAAGATACCATGCACATAACTGGTACTCAGACATGCACATTCAGACAAAACACCTGTGGTGTCCCCTTTTCCCTTGCAGTCCATTGGCCACCAGTCCACGAGGACAAAGGGGAGGAAGTACAGAGACTTTGTACGGCCCATGTACTCAACAGAAACAGCCTTCCCAGAGACATTGTCATTGAGACAACACAACTTCATTCCAGAGTGAGGGGAGACATAAAAGATGGCCGTCAAGGGGAAAGCCTCTGCAGGGGACTGTGTCAAGGGTCGCACTAGAGGAAAGTCAGTCTCTAGATAAGGTCAGGGAGAGAGCAGGAAGCCTCCCTGCTGTGGGGAGAGGGAGAGCTCAGGAAGAGTTGCCAGGCCAGGATAGACTACAACCTCTGATCAGTAGGGCCTCCCAACAAACACCCACACACCAAATATAAAAACTAAATCTTTTTTTTTCATTGTATCCAGTCAAATATCTAAACCCTCAGAATTCTGTTAGTGATCTGTTCACTGCCATTTACAAGGATGGCTTAAAGAACAAAATGTTTAAAGAAGATTTATTTTCAAGGGTTTGATTTTGTTAAGCTTTACCTAAATGTTATGCAAAGGGTAAAGTACTAGACTGGTGTAACCACCTTCTGGGTATTTAACAACCACCTCTGCAAACCTTACACCTATGTGGACAGAGCACAAATCTTACACCTACGTGGACAGAGCACAAACCTTACGCCTACGTGAACAGAGTGCAAACCTTATGCCTACGTGGACAGAGCGCAAACCTTATACCTACGTGGAAAGAGCACAAACCTTACGCCTATGTGTAGCAGGCGTGGTCGATCGATAGAATAAACAGACCAATACTATATAAAAGATATAGCTTTCAATAAAAAGGGGAAAACTTACAAGACCCGGGATCCCAAGAACACCAATGGAGCAGGAAAACCGAAGGGGCAGGGGGCAAGGCACTTCGATCTTTTATAGCCCGAATGGCCACACCTTAGGCCGAATGTGATTGGCTGAGATTCCCCATCACCTATGTGAACAGAGTACAAATCTTACACCTACGTGAACAGAGCATAAACCTTATACCTACGTGGACAGAGGACAAACCTTACACCTACGTGGACAGAGGGCAAACTTTACACCTACGTGGACAGAGCACAAACCTTATACTTACGTGGACATAGGGCAAACTTTATGCCTATGTGGACAGAGCGCCTAAAAGAAACAATATTTTAACTCTAAGTCCCAGGAAACTGTGGCACGTTTCTCGAAAAGTCCTGTAGCTCTGGGGAGTCTCTTATGTTTTCTAGATCTAAGAGGCCATGAAGACCACACAGATGAACTCTAATCCCTGAGTATTCTGTAGAGAGAACATTGAAGGAAAGCATTGGCAGAGGTCTTGACTCATCCCCAGCAGGTGGCACCACTGCCAAAAGAAAGGCTAAAGGAGCCAGAGGGATCCTGAAAGCCAGGGCATTGGCCTTAACAGAAAAGAAAGGAAGAAGGAAGAAGGAAGAAGGGAGGGAAGGAGGGAGGGAGGGAGGGAGGGAGGGAAGGAGGGAGGGAGGGAGGAAGGGAGGAAGGAAGGAAGGAAGGAAGGAAGGAAGGAAGGAAGGAAGGAAGGAAGGAAGGAAAGAAGGAAACGGTTAATTTAGGACACCCAGGTGTTAAAGGCCTCTTCGTGTGGCTGGCTCACGAGAGATGGCTCAGCAGTTAGGAGCACTGATTGTTTTTCCAGAGGACCCGGATTCAAATCCCAGAACTCACATGGTAGCTGACACCTGTCTGTAATTCCAGTTCCAGAAGACCTGATAACCACTGCAATGTACATAAAATAAAAATAAACAAATAATAAAGGCTTCACTAAATAAACATTGAACACAGGCTGCTGACAGACCAAGCAGATTGCCTCCTCAAATAAAATGCCATTTGCATATTCCTAATGATTCTGCTGAAGACCTACAAAATCAAACATACCAAACCCACCATTCCATTGTTGGTCAGCACTCAGATGGTCTTGGGACCATCTCCCTAAGTGGGTCCCTTTGATCATCCCCTAAAACCTGCAAGTCAGCAAAGGTGGAGACCCTAAACGCTTTGATGCCTCTATTTCAGCCAGGGAGAGTAGGAAGTAACTTAATGTTTATCTCCTATATGACCTTAGGGTCCCAACTCTTGAAGGAAGAATGTTAAGCAGCCAGACATATAATAGTGAGCTTGGGGGCCCTCGCTCACAGTATCCTCTCCCTCTGAAATGTTCTATACCCAAGACTGTCGCAAGAGCTCCCAAATGAAGATAGTGCCCTTGTCCAGCAGTGCAGAGCAGGGGGAGGGGTGAACAGTTACAAAAACAAAAATTATGCCCCATCTTTTCAACTACCTAATAAGAGTGGGGAAATGGTAAACTGTGGCCAGGCCATCTTGGTTAAACGATAATTCCTGAAGCTACAGTACATAATTCCTGAAGCTACAGTACCTTAGTAACTTAGTAACAAGAACCGTGGAGGCACAATTCAGCCTTAGGATCTGAAGATGCTGTCACAAGTTCCCCTAGGTGGCTATAAGGACTGCTACTCAGTCCCACCTCAGTGTGTCTTGCCTACCAGCCCAGGGCCTGAGCAGTGAAGTAGGAAGCCTTCAGCCTGGTCTCCACAATGGCCCAGAATTCCAGCCCTATTTCTCATAGCTAAGAATCACCTAAGCATATTCTATGTTATCTACTGCTCTCCCCCTGTGTCTAGGTGTCCCTGTGCTCAATGTTCTCACTCTATCCTTGTTGCCCATGCCTACCCACCAGTATTATTGTGCTCTGCTTGCCAGTGATGGCCATAAACTCACATTCCCAGGGTGATGGCATCCTCGTCAGGAGTCCTCTGCTGGCTCCTACACTGCCCTATACCTATCCTCACACGGTTCACAACAGCCAAAGATATTAATGATAAATGATTTGGTTTGAGGATTGAAAAACGGAAGAAAAATTCAAGCATGGGGTCTCATGCCTTTAATCCCAGCACTTGGGAGGCAGAGACAGGCAGATCTCTGTGAGTTCAAGTCCAGCCTGGTCTACAAAGGGAGTTCTAGGACTCCACATCTGCCTTATTTTTTTCTAATTCTGTGCAGTAAGTACCACAAAGTACATAAAGTGCTGTGAGGTTCCACTGGAAGAAAATACGTTTATCTAAAGAACTCCGGGAGCTGGGAGGGGTCTGGTCTTGCATGTTCAAGTCCTAGATTAAACGCCAGCTCCAGGGTAGAGGAAGGATGGGAATGGAGTGGAAAGGAAAGGAAGGAAATGAAGAGAAGGGGAAAGGAGGGAGGGAGGGAGGGAGGGAGGGAGGGAGGGAGGGAGGGAGGGAAGGCGGGAGGGAGATAGCTGGCCAAAGCTGTGATTTTTCCATCCAGAGAAGGGAGGAGGTGGATGGCCTGGGTGGCAGCAGCCTTCCTGCCTACAGAAGCATCTTTCCAGACCTGAGTTCCAAGGGGAGGAGTTTTGTGGATGGTGACGCACAACTTCCTTCTTCGCCAGCTCTTAACTGAGTTCTTCCACACCAGTTCTCATCTCCTAAGGATTGGCTCCCAAGTAGAAAGCAGCCGTAATCTAGGAACCACACTCTCAGACTCTTCTGTTCCTGTGTCCCCTCCCTACACATGCTGGGCCCTTCTCTGCTCTCTGCACCTCTACCCTCTCACAGACCACAGGACAAAGTGCAAGGATAATTCCATGTTTTATTCCATAGACAAGGGGATCTGGTATGTGTCCAGTCTCGCTGGGTGGTCAGTCTCTGAAGATGAGCAGAGGGCTTAAGAGGATGCTCCACGGAGGACCTTGACTACAGTGCCCTGCACCAACAGTCTCGGACTTGTCTAGGATGTTGACGACCTCACTCACTCTAATGCTTCCAATATGCTGAAAATGTTCTAAAAGCTTGTTTGTTTCACGAGTACAGCCCATTATGAGGAAGGTAGTATTGAGATTCCCTACAAAGAAGAAAGAATAGAATCAAGGATACTTCCGGACCCAAGGATCCTGCTCCCTTCCCAGAGGTCTCACCAATCAGGACACCCGCTCTCCCAATCGAGATGTGGACACCAGGAATCGTACTCTTCTTACTTAGAGTTCATGTGTCTTGTCTCCTGCACCCGCAGTCCCATCTCGGGATCCCGCCACTCTCTCGGGTGTACAGTACACATGACGGTAACCTGATAAAAGCTGTTCTCTCACCTGCCTGAAACTTTAAGGTGGAACTGTAACACGAAGAGGCAGAGAAGGGGCAGGTCTCTGTGGTGACAAAGTTTGGAAGACACTCCTGGTCATGCCTGCCCACACAGGTTGGACAGTATTTGGCAGAAGGCGCTGTGTACTTAGGCTCACTGGCCTTCAGCCTCACAAAGGGCTCCAAGTTGGTTATATTGTTGCAGAGATAGGTCCTGCAGACCCTGCTGTAGGAGGCGACCGTCACTCCGGGTGGAGACACGAGGTAGGAGATTTGTGGGGGATAAGATAAGGCTGAGGTGCAGCCTTTAAAGCTCACAACTCCCCTGCTGTTCCCTGAGAAGCAGGGGGTCAGAGAGGTGGAATCAGTGTCACTGGCCCCTCCCAGGCTGCCTCCCTTCCTAGCCCTTCTATTTCCTGTGCCTACTCACTGCACCTGCATGGGGCAGAGAAGTCTTTATCTGTGTCTCCTAGTCCTTCTTACCAGAGCCCCTCTGCTGCCCTGGCTCCTATGTCTTCATCCTTCCTCTCCCCCAGGGACCTGTCCACTTCCATCCTAGAAGATATCTGAGATATAGAGATATCTGAGACTTACCCCATTCTAGCCAGTGTTCCCTACTCCTCACTTTTACTCCTTAACCTCCCCAAAAGCTGTCACTCTAAAGTGACTCGTGTTTCTTTTGACTTTGTGTGTCCTCAAGGAAACAGGAAGTGCTTCACAAGCATACCTTTTCATTTGATGCATGTGGTAATAATAATCAGCACTTTGCTTTTACTATCAAATTATATACAGGTGTGCGTGCACATGTGCTCATGAGTGTGTGTGTGTGTGTGTGTGTGTGTGTATGCACGCACGCACGCATGTGTAATCCCAATCCTGGCTAGGAAGGAGGGGGAGCAGAAGGGGGAGCAGAAGGAGGTGTATCACCTGTCTCAATGTACACTATCGTCTCCTCGCAACCCTCTTTCAGGTTACACACCATGCTCCTCAAGAGAAGCCAGTTCCACTTATGCAGGGTCACAGCTCTGAAGGCCGAAGCTGTCGCCTCATAGCACAAAAGAGCTCCAGTCCCTAAAGAGAGAATGTTCTTCCAGTTATCTGCCTCCCCACCACTTTCTTTTTGCTGTAGGGATTTTTGTTTGGGGTTTTTCTTTTGTTCTGTTGTTTGCTTGCTTGCTTTTTGGTTTTTTCAATATAGGGTTTCTCTGTATAGTTCTGGCTGTCCTGGAACTCACCTTATAGATCAGGTTGGCCTTGAGCTCAGAGAGATCCACCTACCTCTGCCTCCCAGTACTGGGACTAAAGGCATTACCCATCATGCCTGGCTTTCCACATCACCTTCTTAACATCAGCACACAGAAAGCCTATCCCCTAAGGAGACTCAGCCCACCTTCCACCAGTATGTAGGTCCAGCCTCCCAAGTGTTGGGGCCTTATAGTATGCAGTCCCTACAGGACATACAAGGCAATAAAGAGATGGCCTCTAAGAGGCAGAGCAGCTGCAGAGATCGCAAATTCTGGAGTCCCATGCTTCTCTGTCAGGGTCCCGGATGTGACAGATCAGTCTGGAGCCAATTTCTTATGGAGTCTCAAGTTTGGTTCTTGTCAGTCCCTGAATTCTCTGTCCATTTGCCTACGGGTCACTGTTCCTAAAGAAAATTGACCATGTTAGTTGCTGTAGTATGGGCTCCCTTGAATCTTTCAATGACATAGGTTTCCTACCTCTGTGGTCTCCCCTCCAAAATAATTCACACCCAGCATTATCTGTGCCTCAAAGCACACCTCTCATGTCCTTGCCTAGGTCTTCCTTCTGACCACGGTGCTGCTCCAAAGACCCACCATCATACAGGCTGTTCTCCAGCCAAAAGTGAGGACACCAAAAAGCAAACTGCAGTGTAATGATATTTTGTTTGTATTTTAACAAATAAAGCTTGCCTGAAGATCAGAGTGCAGAGCTAAGACACTAGAAGCCAGGCAGTAGTAGCACACACCTTTAATCCTAGGATGGGGGTTGGGAGGTTGGAGGAGATGGATGTATCTCTGCCAGCTCAAGGCCACCCTTAGGCTACATGAAACTGATCCAGTCTAAAATAGAAACAGTTCACACAATGGTTATCCCAGCACTTGGGATCCCACACCTTTAATTCCAGCACTAGGGAGGTAGAGACAGGAGCTCAGGGCAGTCTGAGGAGCAGCATAGACCAAGGAGCAGTCAGTCTGAGACAGTCAGTCTGAGACAGTCAGTCTGAGGGGCAGTCAGTCCAAGACAGTCAGTCTGAGGGGCAGTCAGTCTGAGGGGCAGTCAGTCTGAAGGGCAGTCAGTCTGAGGGGCAGTCAGTCTGAGGGGCAGTCAGTCTGAAGGGCAGTCAGTCGGAGGGGCAGTCAGTCGGAGGGGCAGTGCAGTCTGAGGGGCAGTCAGTCGGAGGGGCAGTGCAGTCTGAGGGGCAGTGCAGTCTGAGGGGCAGTGCAGTCTGAGGGGCAGTGCCGTCTGAGACAGTCAGTCTGAGGACAAGATCGCCCTTTGGTCTGAATATTGGTAGAGGAAAGAGCTCTAGTGACCGGCCATTGTGCTTCTCTGATCCTTCAGCTTTCACCCCGATAACTGACTCTAAGTTTTTATTATTAAGACCAATTAGAGAGCCGGGCGGTGGTGGCACACACCTTTACCCAGCATTCAGGAGGCAGAGGCAAGCAGATCTATGTGAGTTCGAGGCCAACCTGGTATATAGAGCGAGTTCCAGGACAGGCTCCACACCAAAGCTACACAGTGAAACCTTGCCTCAGGAAAAAAGAAAGAAAGAAAGAAAGAAAAAGAAAAAAAACATTAGAATTCATGCCACATTGAGCATTAGAACTTTGCAAACAAAGCATGGTGGATCACACCTGCACACCTGTAGTCCCAGCACACAGGAGGCTGACCTAAGTTTAAGACCAACCAAGTCAAACAAACAAACAAAAACAAACAAACCCACTACATGAGACCCTGTCTCAAGTACAAAAGGCCTGTGAGAGAGTAGATGTTAATTAACATATTCCCAAATCCCTTTGTTTGCTAAGGAAATTAAAAAGCATTTAGAAGCGAACAATAACGCCCATGGTGCATATCACTTACACACAGGAACACACATAAAATCTGCAAGAAACTAAATATGGGCACCAATGTCAGCTTTATGTTACTATACCAGGGTGACGTAAGCATATAATCCCAAAGCTTGTAAGGGGAAGGACTGCAGGACCAGAATTTCAGATCACCTTGAACTATATAAGTTCAAGGCAAGCCTATCCTACATGAAACCCTGGGTCAACATAAAACAACAAAAACTACATAAAACACATAAACCATTCAAAGCAAACTGGCACAAGAAAATATATAATACTTCAAGCCAACAAGATCTCAGCAGCAAGAAAAAAGAGAGCAAGCCAAGGCTAGGCCTGTGAAGAAACTATCCTGTAAGAGGAAAGGCACAAAGGCTAGCAGACATTGGAGGAGATGCTCAAATCTAACTGCAACCTGAGAAATGCAATCATCTTGCAAAATGTATCCTCATGACACACCCAGCAGGCTGCCTGTGTCAACAGGCCCAACAGGCCTTTGGTAATAAGGACACTTCCCTGCTCTGCTGTTTATGCAGTGGTTGAAGGAAGGATAGACCACCCCTGGGAAAAGAGGAAGTGGGAATTCCCAGCAGTGTTTCCAGCCTCCTGCAGGGAGAAGTCTAACAGCCAGATTAGGTTTATGAACACACACTTCCCTTATATTCTAGCTAAATATAATGAAAATCTCCACCCTCCAGTAAATGAGGAGGATTTATTTTTTGTGATTGATGGGTTTGGGAAAAGGAACACCCCTCCTGAAACTAAGGGAGTGCACAACTTGCAGGGAGGCACACCAAGGAATATCACACAGTTAGAAGAATTGATGGGATGTACTCAGTGCAGCTGGGCAGTAGTGACGCCTGCCTTTAATCCCAGCATTCGGGAGGCAGAGTTCAAGGCCAGCCTGGTCTGCAGAGTCAGTTCTGAGACCCTGTCCAAAAAAAATTTAAAAAATGAGCTGGACAGATGGCTCAGCAGTTAAGAACACTGGCTGCTCCTCCGGAGTACCCAAGTTCAATTCCCAGCACCTACGTGACAGCTCACAACTGGCTGTAACTCCAGTTCCAAAGGATCTGACACCCTCACACATACATACATGCCCGCAAAACACCAATGCATGTGAAATTTTAAAAAATAAACAAAAACATTTCCAGATGTACACGTGCACAGGGATTGGCCCTAAAAGCACAGTGCTTTTATATATATATTGCCACACCCCCAAAATATGCGTGTATACAAAACACTACACATCTCCAGGGATCACACACAAGATCAGAAACATACTAACCACTTTAGGACGGCGGCCTATGGGAAGCTTGGGGAATTAAAGTGAAAAATCGGGGTTCACAGGAATGGGAAATGCTTAAAAACCATGCGGGAAGGGCTACAAAGTTCCCAGGCTTAGCGCTCCAAGCTAACCCAAAGTTGCAGTCTCTCCCAACTCCGCATAAACTGGGAGATTTTAAGCGCGATGTCGTAACTCTGCCTGATTCTTCATTCACAAAAAAGTAGGGATTATCCATCCCCTAGGGTAGTTGTGGATAGTGATAAAATGGATACGGGGATCACTGTGGATAGTAATCAGATGGATACGGAGGTCGTAATAAGATAGATAATAAGTACCGCTCGAAGGCCAACCGCTTATGTGTTTGTTCCTTTCGGATCCCTCCTCCTGAATCAAAGCTCAGGTTCTGTGACCAGCCATTCAGGCGATTCCAGCCCCACTCTCCGAGGCTGGGCACAAAGCACCTACCTTTCCCGCTTCAGCACCCATCCTCCACATAGCAGTCCCGCTAGCAGTCACTTCCGCCTCTTTCTTTAGCCAGGAATGCCACAGACACACGGCGCTGAAACCCAGATGTGTGTGGCACAAGGCAGGCTAGAGACGGCATTAAACACCAGATATGGAAGGGAAAACTCAAGCGGCCTAAGGGCCAGCCGAGTGGGTGAGGGTGCACACGCGCAGTGCGTATGAGTCAACGCCTCCTGCCCTTGTTGGCCCTGCGGTGGGGGTGGGGCAAGACCAGCCTCGCTCTGGTTGAGGTTATTCGACGCCCCATTGGCTACCTGCCTCCAGAGTGAAGAACAATCTGGCAAGGGAAGGAGAGAGGCAATGTGTGTGCGACTCAACTCGACGCTCTATTGGCTGGTGGGACTGTTACCAAGGAGAAGCGGACAGGAAGGGAAGGGGTGGGCCCTCGGTGGAGGATCTCGAACCCTATTGGTTGCACGGCACAGCTTTGGCGATGTCCTCGAAGCTCATTGGTCCTTGCAGGAAGGAGCGGGAAAAGCAGCTCGAGCCAGCCGTTCCTCTTCGCCACTTTGTCGCCCTTTTCCCTGGGCCTTCTCCTGGCTGAGTGTGATTCGGCTCGAGGCTGTGGTAACCACCGACTGGCGGCATGACAATGATCCCAACCCCTCTCCTGAGCTGGGTCCCCACCATGGACTCCCTTTGCTGCTCAGCACTTCCCCCATCCACCCATCCCACCCCACCTCCCTACCCCCACCCCGGCTTCTGAGCGCGGTCCTCGTGCCCAGCCCCCTCCCTGGGACCCTGGAGCGGGAGGGGCGCCACAGGTCCAGCATTTGGGGGTAATGGATGGCTGCCGGAACCAGGGCACCCACGGAATGGTTGCTTGGGAAGGGACAGTGCATGCTATTGACTGTTGTTGGGCATGGGGTTCAGGGATAAAAGTGCCGCATGCAGCAGTGATTACATGGATTTTCAAGAAACCCATGCAGTTTGGTTCAAAGGAGAAAGTAGTGTCCTGAGGAAAACACCTTTGACCTACATCAGGTCGTCATCGCAAATGGCAGGGACTCAATAACCATTTTGGAAGGGGTTGATTTTGTTTTGTTTTTAAGAAAGCCCGGCCTTCAACTCCTAGCAGCGATGGCCTTGAACTCCTGATCCTCCTGCCTCTAACCCCCACCCCCAAGATCTCGTGTTACAGGCACGTGCTACTACACCCAGTCAGTTTTGGGTTTTTTTAAGACAGTCACCAGTTGCCCCGACTGGCCTGGAACCCACAGCAATCCTGCTGCCTTAGACGCCTAACTGCTTGGATTACAGAAATGAGTCAGCAGGCATGGTTCAGTAAATGTTTATTAAACTAATGGAGTCCAAGAAAAATACCTAATAAGCAGGTGATACAGGCCAGAAAGGATACAGGAAATTCAAGGCTAGCCCTTACCATTTATCAAGACCTTGTCTCAAAAAAAGGGGGGTGATGGGGGAGAACATTTGGTTAGCATTTGTTTATAAGGTTCTAGGTTCAATGCCTTTTTGTTTGTTTGTGTTTTTGTTTTTCTAGACAGGATTTCTTTGTGTCCCCCTGGCTGTCCTGGAACTCCCTCAGAAGACCAGGTTGGCTGCCTCTGCCTCCCAAATGCTGGGACTAAAGGCATGTGCCCCCACGGCCCAACCTAATGCCCATTTTTTAAAAGCAAATCCCCTCTAATGAAAATGGGATAGGAAATCTCTTGAGAATAATATTGTGACTAAAGAGTACAGAAACGGGCTGGAGAGATGGCTCAGTGGTTAAGAGCACTGACTGCTCTTCCAGAGGACCTGGGTTCAACTCTTAGCACCCACAAGGCAGCTAACAACGGTCCGTAACTCCAAGATCAGACACCCTCACACAGAGATACATGCAGGCAAAATACCAATGTATGTAAAAAATAAATAAATTATTAAAAAAGAAAAAAATACTGGCTTTCAAAGCACCATTGTTTTAAAAAAAAAAAAAAGAGTACAGAAACAAAGCTGGCCTTGGTGGCAGGCACCTTTAACCCCTGCATTCTGGAAGTAGGAGCAGATGAGTCTCTATGAGTTTGGGTCCAACCTGGTCTACACCGTGTTCTAGTCCAGCCAGGAATACACACATAGTGAGGGCTTGTCTCAAAAATAATTAATTAGCTAATTGATTATTTTTTTAAAAAAATCAGGGGGCTGAGGAGAAGGCTCAGTCAATAGTGCCTTGGGCACATGCCTGAGTTCAGGTCCCCCCATTAAAAGCTGGGTGCAATGACATGCCTGTAACCCTACCACTAGGGATGGGAGCTGCAACAGGTGGATCTCTGAAGCTCATTGGCCGGCCAGTCTAGCTAAAGCTGTGAGCTTCAGATTCAGTAAGATGGCCCTGTCTGGGGGGAAAAAAAATCAAAGCGGAGCACAGTAGAGGAAAGCTATCCAACAGTGTCGGCCTCAGCTCCACACACAGGTCCACGCAGCCACGTGCACACTCCTGAAACCCACACCCAGTCAAAATGATGGCATACAAAGAGCAGATGGGCATGGCTAGCACAGGTGGGGCTTAGGACTGAGCAGCCACGTAAGATTGTTTTTAAGGACTGGATAAATGCAAAGAGGTACAATGACGGGCGTTGAAGAGGATGCCCGGAAACCCTGTTTGGGAGGATAGAGTGTAAGCATCCTTGAGAACTCTAGGAGGGCAAACGTATCTGTGCCTGAAGCTGGCATTCAGCACGGCAAAAGAGGAAGATGTTTGTGTTGAGCAAATACTTGAGAAAGAAGAGAGTAGTTTCTGGGAAAGGAGGGTCTACGAGAAAGGTTATGGGCTGAAGACAGGAGAAGCAGGGAGAAAGCTGGGTCCTGAGAGGGACAAGATGAATGAGCACAGATGTGGCTTCCCAAAAGCAGAAGGGCTGGTTAGGACAGAGCCCATGTGACTGTCCTGAGCCACCACTCCTGCCCTAGATCCATGGACCCCAATGAAGCACCTGCTCTCCACCACTGCTCTGCTGACTCTTCCCCAGGGAGTGAGGACAGAGTCCCCCAGAGCACAGAGCTCATTCCCAGGAGACCTGTCAGTCGCTCTCCAACCTGTGCCCGCTGTCGTAACCATGGTGTCACAGCCCATCTCAAGGGCCACAAGCGCCTCTGCCTCTTTCAGGCTTGCGAGTGTCACAAATGTGTCCTTATCCTGTGAGTATAAGATTTGGGCGGGGGGAGGGGGGGCAATGGTTCTCCTCCAGAAGGCTGACTTCTGACTCTTAGGGAACGTCGGAGAGTCATGGCTGCCCAAGTGGCCTTGCGTAGGCAGCAGGAGGCTCAGCTGAAGAGGCACCTGGCTCAGGGCCTGATGAAAGGGGCAACCCCCCTGAAAGCTCCCCTCCGTGTCAAGAAGGGAGCCATTCGACCAGGGGTCCCTTGTGAGTGCCTCTGGCTGGGGATGGGACAGGGATTTGGATGTAGTAAGAGTAAGGACTTGCATCCCTGGCCTTAAACTCAGTCAGCATGTGGCCTTGGGCAAGGTGTTTCCTCTCTCTGGGCCTCACCCTGTCCAACTGTCAACTGTGCTGAAGGGGCTGGGGAGGTGAGGCAGCAGTCAAGAGCGCCAGAGCGGCCGCTGGCTCTCCAGGCAGCTCACCACATCTGTAGCACCAGCTCCAGAACCTAATGGCTTTTGCCTCAGCAGACACCATGCACAGGTGGGGCAAGACATACATGCAGGCAAAACACTCATAAGAATAAAATTTTATTTTAAAATGTGGGCAAGGGTGCAGTGACAACTGAAGATAGAAAATGGGGGATGGGGACAGTGAGGTGGCTCAGGGTAAAGGTACTTGCTGAACAAACCTGGTGACCTGAGCTTGATCCTCAGAGCCTACATAAAGGCCAAAGGAGAGAACTGACTCCCCAGAATTGTCCTGTGACCTGTACACACACACACACCATGTCACACAAACAAGAAGTTAAAAAGAGAGCTGAGGAGTGGGGCATGGTGAACATGTCTGTAACTCCCGCCCTGGAAAAGAAAGAGGAGAGTGAGTTGGAAGCCAAACTGAGCTACCAAACTAGACCCTGTCTGGAGGAGAAGGTGGAAGGGCTGGGAAAGAGAAGCAAAGCCACAGAACAGGCCAGGGCATGATAGCATGTGGAGGAAGGAGGATCGGGGGTTTCAAAGTCAGCCTGGGCTACATAGGGAAAAAAAAAAAGAATAAAGAAATCAGAGAGAGAACTTAGCTGAAGTTGGGATAGGATAGGGGTCAGGAAAGGAGTGGATCTCTCCCTGGTTCCTCGCAGCTGGAAAGGAGAACATAGCACCCCAGCCTCAGAGTCCCCATGGAGCAGTCCCACTGGTGCTGACACCCCCTGGGAAGGTAAGGAGACCGGGGCCCTGTGGGACGGCTCCTTGCCCGCCTTCTGCCCAGACTGTCCCCTCTGTGCTTTCTGCACTGAGTTCCAGCTCACCCCTGACTTGTGGTTGCTCTTCAGTGACTCACCTGGGACCTGTGGGTGAAAAAAGGTGGAACTTTAAGAGCCGCACATAGTTTCGGGTCCTGCCCTCATCCTGGAGCATGCTTGCTTCTGCAGGCTCATGCCCCTGCCCTGGGCCCTCTTCCCCCTACAGGAGAACTATGGGCCTCTGCTGCTCAGCCGCCCCCAGGAAGCCTTGCCTTTGCCCTGGACTCCGGTGCCTCCTGGGCCTTGGGGCCCTGGACACTGGCTGCCACCAGGCCTCTCAATGCCGCCTCCAGTAGTGTGCCGCTTGCTGTGCCAGGAACCTGCTGTCCCTCTGCATCCCTTCCCTGGTAATACATCCTCCTGTCACTCGATAGTTATCTGAATGCTAGGTTGCCGCCGCACCAGAAAAGGGAGAGGAAAAGGACACGTGGGGAGAGGAAGGACATCCATGGTCTCTGTGCCCATCCTTTCTGCTTCTCTTGCCCTCCTTAGGCTTTGACCCTGGCACATCTCTCCGGCTGCCCACTCATGGAACCCTCCCAACCTGCCCAGGATCTCGCTCAGTGCTGGCAGCTCCACTTTCTGGAGAGCCCCAAGGACCCCCTAACCTACCTCACACGTAAGTAAGAACACAACAGAAGAAAATTCCTGGCCATGTGTGATGGTGCACACCTGTAATCCCAGCACTTAGGAGGTTGAGCCAGGAATGTCAGGGCTTCAGGGTAATTTTCAGCTACACTACACAAGGTCAGCCTGGGCTACATAAAATTCTTAACTTAAAAAAAAAAAAGGAAAAGGGTCTCAGACTAACTCAGGCTAACAGGCAGGCAGATCTCAACTGTTCCTACTGTTTCCTGAGAGGCACTGACAATATTCGCACCTCTCAGAGCCTGTTTTAATATCAGTAATCTCTAGTACTCTCTCGTCTGGGGTTGTCATAATAATAACACCTAGTACGTGTTCTGACCTTGAACAAACAATGCTGAAAGCTGGACTGGAGAAAGCAGGCTAGTGGAGCAGACAGCAATCCCAGTCCTATGGGGTGCTATCTGCTTTTGGAAACCTGACACCATTGCTTCCCTATGATCTTCACAGTATTGTGGGAGGGAAAACCTGGGCAAGATTCTCATTTTATAGAAAGCAAAGTCCACAGAGTCCAGTGGCCAGCCTGGAACTTTGTCCCCAGGTCAGAATGCCCACTGTGTCTGTCTCTCCTTTTTCCAGATGTTCAACTCTGATACTCCAGTCCTGTGGAGCCCCGGACTCTCTTCTGCTACAGCCACAGGTCTTGGGAAAGAAATGGCCTCCATGGGCCTGGGAGGAGGCTAGACCTGCAGAAGGGAAAAGCAGGGGGCTGAAAGAAACACTTGCAGGGTGCGTGGAAGTGAGGGTTCCCAGTCTGCTCCTCCCTGCTCCTTCGCAGGCCCCTGGAACCCCTTGCCTGGCCTGGACGTCTGGCCCCTCAGAGCGGCAGTTGCAGCGAGAGGCAGCTGAGGCCCTTGTAGGTCTGAAAGATTCATCCCAGGCTCCCCGCCTGGCTCCATCTGTCCCCCCAAACCCTGCCTGGATCTCTCTGCTTCACCCCTGTGGCACACCAGGTAACTTCCTGAGAAGAGAGAATGAAATAAGATTGGTTGGTAAGTGGAAGCCATTAGAATAAGCAGAGGCTAACCAAGATGGCCCAGACATGAGCTGAATGTCCTCAGGTTCAGGTCCCTAAGTTTCTCAGCCTGGCCTCTGAGACTGCAGTTGAAGTCACTCTTTACTAGTTTTGTTCTAAATGACAAATGTCCAGTGTCTTGCTATCAAGGAAAACCAGCAGAGCCTGGTCTCTAAACCCTAGCTTCCTGCTCAAGCCTGGGAAGGGAGAGCAGTAACCAGGGTCTGGACTAGAAGGGCTGATAAACTGTCTCCCAAGAGCTTCCATTCTGGCTGGGGAACCTAGAGACCCTCACAAGGCTCAGTGGCAAGACTAGAAGGAGAAAGTTCCAGGGGAACAAGCGGTGAAGGCTGAGAATGCCCCTGTCCAATGCAGTGTTGTCTAGAGGATCTGCTGGAAACGGGAGAGATGAGGCTGGGGTCTTCTGAGTATAGAGATGTGGCTTTTGAGTCTGGACCATCAGCTGAACAAAGGGGACCAGGGCAATGTTCAGACCCAGACAAAGCATGGTAGCTTTAGTGGGGGACTGGAGAAGGCATACTGGGGGCAGGAGGGATGGGCATAGACCACGGAAGGAGTGAGGGGCAGTGGGTTGGATTTGACCCGAGCCTGCCAGTTCCTGTCTGCCCACAGCTCCTCCTGGGGGAAGAGGATTCCAGCCTGTCGGCCCACCTCTCCGGCCCAGTCCAGCTTCCTCTGTCTCTCTGCACATTGGGCGTCTGGGATCCATCTCCCTCCTCAGCTAGAAACCAAGATGGAGTCTGCCACACTGGGACAAGGAGATGACAAACTGCAGGCACTGCATATTTGGTATTTTATTTATGCATTTTGCATAGGATTTAGTGTAATGCAAGCTTCAGCCTTTTCTTTTTTAAGCTTTCAGGTTCCTTTTGTAGTGTGGGTATTTCCTTGACTGGGGGTGGATGTTCTCTCGCCCTTTTTAAGTCCCTCAATGGAGGCAGCTGGGCAGTTTAAGAGGACCCATATCTAAATACATTTTTGCATGAGTTTATGTTCTATATATGCCTGTGTGCTCACGTCTGTCTCTGCATGTGAAAATACAAGAATATGTTCACATTGTATGTAGGTTTCTGTAAGCAAGAAATAAACCTTTGCTGTTTAAGCCATCAAGATACAGAGTTTACCCTGATTGACAGGACTATTCAACTCCCATCTCAAAATAGAAGTCATCTACTTAATAACTACCACAGAGCTAGGCATGGTGGCTCACACCTGTAATCCCAGCACTCACTGGCTGACGTCGGATTGCTTATGACATAGCTATAAACAACAACAAAGTAAAAAACATAAACTTGGACTTCTAATTATGCCCTCATAAGAATAACAGAGAGGGGCTAGAGAGATGGCTCAGTGGTTAAGAGCATGGGCTGTTCTTACAGAGGACCCGGGTTCAATTCCCAGCACCCACATGGCAGCTCACAGCTGTCTGTAACGCCTGTTCCAGAGGATCCCACACCTTCACCTAGAAATGCATGTAGAAGAGTAACAGAGGAAGGTACTGGGGAATCACCAATGTGGTAATTAATCAACTGCTCTGTACCAAATATAACCTGTTTTCTGCTATCCAGAGAGCCACAATCAAGATGATACCTAACTGGGGCAGGGAGAGCAAATAAAGGAGTGAAGACAGCCCAATGGAGACTGGGAAACGGGTTGTGTGTCTTACCTATGGGCAGTCTTCTCTAGCCTCGTGGATAATTCCTGGCAGAAACCTGGCCTTTGTTGCCACATCCTCTGGTTTTTCAAGAGAAATTAGGAAACTATGTTTCTGTGTCCAACATCTTATAATAATTTTCAAACATTAGCATAGCCTTCTTTAAATATTATATTGGCCAAATAACACAGCTTCTGGTCAACTTTGGCCAATAGAATACTAATTTGATACTAATCTAACATGACATTTTCCGGATGGGGAAATTGAAGCCAATCAGGACAGCAAAAACCAAGTTAGTTTTTACCAAGGATCTTCCTAACTAGGAAAATTCACTGTCTTCTTAAAATAATTAGAGGGGCCAGGCCTGTAGTGCAGTGGCACAGTGCTGCCCGGAACGATGAGGCCCGGGTTCAGTACCCAGTATCTCACACAGTGTATAAACCAGAAAATACAAAACTTGATCAAAGACTAGAGAATGCTTTCTAATTGTTGAGTCCCAACAGCAACTCTGTAATCTATACTGAAAATGGAAAGTATTAGCCAGCAGGTCAAGGGAATTGTCCAGAAAACAATCAGAATTCCTCCTTGTTGCCAGGCCTTGACATTTTATAAAGCACGGAATGAAGGATTTGAGGCTACAGGGAACACGTCCGGCAGAAGCAGTTCTCACAAGTGTCTCTCCCTTTTTCTACCAAGGTTGTCATTGTATAATGTTTTGGGTTGGTGTCCTCATTTGCTTTCCATTGCTGTGATAAACACCATGACCAAAGCAACTTGGAGAGGAGAGGGGCTACTTGAATGACATATCTGAACCTCAGTCAGTCTCTGAAGGGAGTCAGGGCAGATCTGAAGCAGGGGCTATGGAGGGGCACCGCTCACTGATTTGTTCATCATGATGTGCCCAGTCTACTTTATTTTAAATTATTTATTTGTTTTTATTTTATGTGCATTGGTGTTTAGACTGCTTGTATGTGTGTGTGTAAAGGTGTCAGATCTTAGAATTACAAACAGTTGTTAGCTGACGTGTGGGTACTGGGAATTGAACTCAGGTCCTCTGGAAGAGGAGCCAGTGCTCTTAACTGCTGAGCACTCCAGTCCCTCAGTCTGCTTCCTTACACACTAGGACCACCTGACCAGGGTTAGTAACACATACAGTAGGCTGGGCCCTCCCACTTCAATAATTACTTAAGAAACTGCCCATGGACTAGCCTGCAGACCAGCCTGATGGGGGCATTTCCTGAATTGAGGGTCCTTCTTCCAGATGACTCCAGCTTGTGTCAAGTTGACAAATAACCAATACAATTGACCCCTTGTCAACCTGACACACACACGCTGCTATTTAACAATTTCCTTTCTTGCTTATCCTCAAGATCTCATGTTAATATTAATATCACAGTGCAAAACATAGTCCAATTTGTTTGTTTGTTTGTTTTACAAAACAGAGTTTCTCTGTGTAGCCCTGACTGTCCTGGGACTCACTCTGTAGACCAGGCTAGCCTCAAACTCAGAGATTCACCTGCCTCTGCCTCCTGAGTGCTGAGTTTAAAGATGTAGGCCACCACACTTGGCATACAGTCCAACTGTTTAAAGACCTTTTTTTTTCTTGTTTATGCGCAAGGTTCTTTTGTCAACATTTATGTCTGTGCACTGTGTGCATGCAGTACCCAAGGATGCCAGAAGAAGGTGTCGGTTCCTCTGGAATTGGAATTACGCTTGGCTGTGAACTGCCGTGTGGGTGCTAGGAATTGAACCTGGGGTCTTCTGAAACTGCAGCCAATGTGCTTAACTGTTGCACCAGTTCTCCAGGCCGACCCAGTTAGTTGGTTTTGAGATAGGAGCTAGCTCTAACCTGGTTGACTTAAAACCCATTTTGTGAGCCAGGCTAGCCTCAAATTCGTGGCACTCTTCCTACCCCAGCTTACTGAGTGCAGGGTTTACAAGGCTCCTATGAGCCACCAGGCCCAGCTAATAACAGAGCATCTGTTTGCTAGTCCTCGGCTGTGGAGCCCTCTTGGAGTCCTTGCAGACAGGACCCCTGGTGAGCTATTGCTCCTTCCTCCTGTGTGTGGGGAGCTCAGAGCTCAGCAACATACCTGATAACTGATTGTTCTCCTGGCATTACCCGCATCCCTCTTTTTACTCAAGATGATGAATGATGGTGGGACCCAACAACACCCTGTTCTCTTAATTCGAGGCCTTGAGAAAATGGGCTATTCCTTCTCTACAGCAGACCGCAGAATAAGGAACCTGCAGCACAATCAGGGGACGCTGTAAGAGAACAAAAGACTACAGCCAGCCTCACACCTTTTGTCCCTCCCTAGTTATAACTTAGATATACGATTGCCCTTTAATAGACTTGCCTAAGCCTTGCTAGCAGTGCCGAGTTCTTTCAGTGACCGTTGACTGAGCCCAAGAGTCATGGAGCAGCGGGGAAGCACTGCAAATGCACCTCACTATCTATGATGCTGCTGCTAGGGCTGACCAAGGGTCCCCAGGGTTCCAAGGTCACACAGCCAAAAAAAGATAAAAGAAAAGGCAAAAAGGCAGCATAACAAAGAAACGGGACACAGGGTAGTGACAGGAGAGCAGTGGGAAGGCTCAGGGGGAAAGGGCTGGCCACTGTGCCCAAGGACCCACAGGAAGCTAGAAGGTGAGAACAGCTCCAGGACGTTTGTTATCCTCTGACCTCCCCACTGCTGCACGGACCTCACACACACACACACACACACACACACACACACACACACAAACTGCTCGTTTCCATTTTCCACCTCCCTTCACCTGCTGCTGAGGAGGCACCAGGCTCCTGGCCCTAAGCATCCCTGAAGTTTTAGCCAGTGGACTGTGAACACCGGTTTCCTGTTCTGCTCCCTAAGGTTGCCTGATCTGAGCTTTTGTCTCAACCTCTCTTAATACTCTACAGAAATGACAATAAGTTTACAACCAGGAAGTGCCCTCCTCGCTCTTCTCCACACAAGACCCCTCCCCACAACAATCCTGGTTTTGTTTCAAGGGCACATTTCACATTCTGTCATTTGACTATCCATATTCTGGTCACTCCAGAACATGACCTGCTGCTGACCACACTTATAGTCCAGGCAGGAAAATGACCTCATGACACCTACTCCATCCTCATTCCTGGTTCACGTAGACTCATCACTTAACTCGTCGCAAGCTCCATAGCAGGCAGTCATGCCTGTGTAGACTCTCATGGGATCCAGAGCTTTTCCCAAAAGCATGATTTATCTTTTATCCCACCAATATCTGTGTTAAGCTCTTCAGACCTTTATGTTCCTTGGAGGTACAGACTTGATTGTGCTAAGCTGTGCTAGTGTCACTGTGTTAGTGACAATCTATGTCCCCAACCCCCAGAAGAGTTATCCAAAGAGGACAGGCCTATTGTGGACTTTCTCTCTGGGGGACTCAAAATGAATGACTGACTAAACAGGTTCTGTCCAGTCCCTTAGGAATGGTGTTCCCTCCTAAGTTAGTGCATTCCACTGCCAACACTGAAACCCCAAGGAAAATGACTTCCTGCCCTCGGGCCATTCTTTTCCATTTTGCTTACTTTTAGTTTTACAGAAAGCAGTGTTTCCAATAACTATGGGATAGGGGCTGGGGAGCAGCCTACAGAATGTGAAAAAATATGTTTGCCAATTACACATTAGACAGAGGATGCAAGGGCTGGAGAGATAGGCCAGTGTTTGAGAGCACTGGCGGCTCTTCCACAGGACTGTGTTTGAGTTCCGCAGCCACATGGTCGCTTACAATTGTCAAATAACTCCAGGTCCAGGGGATCTAATACCTGCTTCTGGCCATTATAGATACCAGGCACACATGTCATACACAGATGTACTTGCAGGCAAAACACCCACACACAAATAATTAAATAAAAGGGAGAAAACTGTATTGAGTGGCTGGAGAGATGTCCAAGTGGTTGCCATACAAGCATGAGGATCTGAGTTTGAATCCCCACAACCCAGGTGAATCTAGGTGTTGTAGTGCACATCTGTAACCCCAGAGATCACACTGCAAGATGGAAAGCAGAGGGTCTCCAGAAGCTCATGAGTTAGCTAGCCTGGTGTATGCAGCAAATGGTGAACGATACTGCCGCTTCAGTGTGGGTGCTGGGAATTGAACTCAAGTCCTCTGGAAGAGTTGAACCATCTCTCTCCAGACTTTTCTCCTGTCTTAAGTATTAGTAACTCATTTCTTTTCAGTATCTTTTCTAAATTTTAAATTTTATCATAGGGGGATGTGCGTGAGCACGCGTGGTATGTGAACATATATGTGCCACTGGATGAGTTTATGCAAGTCAGAAACAACTATCTGTAGCTGGTTTTCTCTCGCTCTTTTTTTCCTACGGTGGGTTACAAGAACCAAACTCAGGTCATCAGGTTTGTATGGCAAGCACTTCGACCTTCTTAGACACTTCATTGGCCCTCATTCCTTCTTTTATCTTGAATAACATTTAATCGTCTGGAGGTACCACAGCTTCAAACATTCAAAATTTTATGCGCACGCAGGGCGGGGTTGGGGAGAGGACTAAACCCAGAGCCTGGCATGCAACATTCTTGTAGCTTGAAGCAGGAGGATTGTAACATGAGGGCCGGCTTGTTGGGGTAGCTGTCCCGCCCAGTACCCCACAGCCGGCAAGCCCCAAGAGAAATCACACACAGGACTCCATAAGGTTATAAACTGATTGGCCCATTAGGTCAGGCTTCTTGTTAACTCTTATAACTTATGTTACCCCATTATCCTTATCAACATTAGCCACATGGCTCCGTACCTTTCTCAGCTGGGCAAGTTACATGCTGCCTCTTCGGTGGTCTGCACAGGAGTGGCTTCCTGTGTCTCAGAATACTCCCAGTCTCTTTGCTCCACCCCTACTTCCTGTCTGGCTTTCCCGCCTATACTGCCTGCCTGGCCAATCAGCGTTTTATTAAAATATGATTGACAGAATACAGACAATTCTTCCACACCATTTCCCTCTTTTTTTTTTTTAAACAAAGGAAAATACCCATAGTCCATTTATTGGGAATGTGAGCGTAGTATTTCAGGCTACTTCCTGCTGGTTGGGAGCACTGATAATCTTATGGGGACCTAAAGAAAATTTAGAGTTATAACCAAGTCCTGTCTGGAGTATCCTGTGAGTCCTGATCATCTCAGGCAGCATCTTGAATCTGTTCTGGATGTAGAACTCAGACATCTGGGCCATCTGTTCCTACTGAAGATTTCTCAGGTGGTCTTCCTTGATCATACTGGATTTTTCTTAACTCAGAATGAATCTACAACCTCTCATTTTCTGTGGAAACAAAAGCAAAATCTCTTCTCCAAAGTAACATACCTTTTGACTTCAGTTTTGAAGCTAGGGTATTTATAAAATACCTATCTTGGGTTAATTCAGCAGCATTTATAAACAAATATCTTTGTTTATATCAAATATTTATAAACAAATATCTTTGTTATATCAGCTGTTGCTCCTTCCTCAGCATTCAAACAATTTAAAGAGAGCATAATAGCACATAGTATCAAGATTCTCTGTATATTTTCCATCTTTATTTTAACCTCTATTTCTTTTATTTTTACTTTTACTTTTTAAGACAGGTTCTCTGTATATCTTTGTCCTGGAATAACTCTGTAGACCAGGCTGTCCTTGAACTCACAGAGATCTGCCTGTCTCTACCTCCTCAGTCCTGGGATTCAAGGCATGTGCTACCACACCTTGAACTCACAGAGATCTGTCTCTGCCTCCCACGCATTGGGATTAAAGGCGTGTACTACCACACCTTGAGATCACAGAGGTCAATCTACCTCTGCCCCTTGAAGTCACAGAGGTCAATGTACCTCTGCCTCCCAAGTGTTGGGATTAAAGGTGTGTACCACCACACCCAACTACTCTCTTTTTACTTTAAGAACTTTAACTTTTATCCTGTATATATTTTTAACACACTGTGAACCATTTAGAGGTTTTCTTACTCTTTGAATCTCTCTTTACTGTATATCTCTCTTTTTCTGATCACATGAGCCTTTAATTTACTAAGCAATATCGGTAGAACTAAAGCCGTGGCTTTGACAGCCCATTCCTTAGCTTTCCAGCCTCGTGGCTGAGGTACCGGCTGCAGCCATTTTTCTTGCCACAACTCTATGGCGTTTCAAGGTCCTTGCCAGCAAGCAAGCTGCGCATTCTGCTCACAGACCACACTCAGTCGGCCGGCCTGCCTGAAAGAGTCAGAGTTTGCCCTGGCAGGACAACCCAGAAAGCCGGCATTTTAAAACAGCACAGCTTTTTTCCTGCTACTGCTGAAATCCCGAAAAGCATACGTTCAGCTTTTCATCAACACTGTTTAAGTGCTTCGCGGCAGGACCTCTTAAAAGAGATGCAAGGTTTTGCAGCTAAAGCTGAGTCAGGAAGCCTCTCTTAGATGAGAGCATTTGCTTGCCTCTAGCAAGCCGAGCAGACCCGAGAAATTGCTGCTACCAAGAAACCATGCTTTATTATTTTTCAGGCTTTCTCAGGCTTTCTGTGGATTCTGGGCGCCATATGTAATATGACGGGGGCCGGCTTGTTGGGATTTCCGTCCCGCCCGGTACCCCACAACCAGCAAATCCCAAAGAGAAATCACACACAGGACTCCATAAGTTATAAACTGATTGGCCCATTAGGTCAGGCTACTTATTAGTTCTTATGACTTATCTTAACCCATTATTCTAATCTATGTTAGCCATACGGCTCCGTACCTTTCTCAGCTGGGCAAGTTACATGCTGCCTCTTCGGTGGTCTGGGCAGGAGTGACGGGTGGGGGGGGGGCCGCTTCTTTGCTCCACCTCCTCTACTTCCTGTCTGGCTTCTGGCTTTCCTGCCTATACTGCCTGCCTGGCCAATCAGCGTTTTATTAAAATACATGATTGACAGAATACAAATAATTCTCCCGCACCAGGAGATCTTGCGTTCAGAGACAACCTTGGATAAATACAAAGTTCCAGACTTGGCTAAATGAAGCCCTCTCTCAAAACAACAACAACAACAAAAATAATAACGTTACACAGATAAACCTGAATGATGTCTCTAAAGGGGCAAATGAGGCGAGACTAACGGGTTGAGCATTCGGATTCCAGCGCTAGATGGCAGAGCGGAACCTCTATCAAGGTCCCGCCCCTGCCTCGATGTCCCTGCCCTAATCTCCTCCCCCGCTTCCAACGCCTTAGTTCCACTCCGCTAGCAGCAAATAAGCTGAAGCAATTTCCGCCCAAAGAAGGGTGGGGCTTCCGTGTAGTCCCGGTCTCGCGAATACTAGCGCTAGGACAAAAGTGGGTGATCGCCACATGTCATCCTTGCCACTTCCCTACATTTCCCGTTTCGGTTCCGCCCTTACTACTCCCACTTCCGGCCAGGGAAAACGCCACTTTACTAGGAAACAGGGTCTCGCGCTGAACCCCGCTTTCCTTCCGCCCTCAGTAGTTTCCGCCACTCCTGCTCCCACCAGACACACAAGGCTCAAACGAAGCCACGTTCTCCTCACTCTCTCCGGTTTCGCAACACGCCCGAGAAAACGGAAAGAGGAAACAGCCCCCCCTCCTCTCGTCCCTGGTCCCTTCTCCTGCCTTCTCCACCCCTTCCTCTTACAGGCCCTCCCATTTAGGTGGAGACGAAGCCATATTCGCCCTCAGAGAGGCGGAGACTCTGGTCTAGCCGCTCTCGCGAGCACTCCGAACTCTCGCGAGACTCGACGCCCGACTTGTGCGCCCGGGAAACCCCGTCGTTCCCTTTCCCCTGGCTAGCAGCGCGGAGGCCGCACGGTAAGCGAGAGCTCTGGGTCCGACTGTGCGCGGGGCCACGGGGTCGGGCTGTCTGGCCCCAAGAGCTCGTGCCGGGGACCGTAGGAAGCCCGGCGCGGGGTCGCTCCGCCCCTTGGAGCCGCGGCCACGTGCGAGCGACAGGCCCGGACATGCCTGATGGCCACAAATCCGGGAGCCCAAAAGGGGTTATAGGTGGGCAGCGGAGGGGTGAGTGGAGTGCCCGGGAACGTGGGCTGAGGGAGAGGGGTGTGGAGGAGTCTCCCACGCGGTCACCACGCCGACTTGTGATCCGCATGCCGTGGGAACCCAGGAGCTCTGTTGGTCCTGGAAGAGCCGGGCTGCACTTGGAGAAAGGCGGGGAGGTTGTTGGGGCTTCGGTCTGGATGAGGGAGTAGCGGGGTTGCTGTTGACATGAAACCGCGTCAGCGTTTCGAATCAAGCCTCCTATTGATATGCTTGCCTTTCCTCCTAGATGCCTGGAGTTACTGTAAAAGACGTTAACCAGCAGGAGTTCGTCAGAGCTCTGGCAGCCTTCCTCAAAAAGTAAGTGTCGGGACGGAGTTGTGACCCCAATGTGTGGCTTGTCTGAATGGCCTCTTGTTAGCCTTTTCTGAATTAGGCCTAGGATGGCTATGTTTCCGTGTTGTCCTGTAAGCTCATATGCTAACACCTATCCTGCTTTTTAATGGTTTCGGGGATCGGAAGTAATTTTTTGGAAATTTCTAAAATGTACTTTCTCGATTCTTTTGGTCCCAGGTCCGGGAAGCTGAAAGTCCCCGAATGGGTGGACACAGTCAAGCTGGCCAAACATAAAGAGCTTGCCCCCTATGATGAAAATTGGTTCTACACACGAGCTGGTGAGGACTGGGGCCTTGGGCTGGGAATGGGGAGCTGGGTGACCCCAGGCAGGAACCCCTTCCCCTCTCAACTGTGCTGGGAAGAGACAGACCTCATTCTCTAATAACTATCTCTGAACGTGAAAGGAAACCTAGGAACAAGAAAACTGTTGATATTTTACTTAAACAGGTGCTCACTTGAGAATCTCTGACGGTATCCATTGTGTAGCATTCTAATTCAGATCCATCTCTATCAAGTGATTCTCTGCTGAAAGATTGGCGAGTTGGGGTGCTGCTCCTTGTTCTCGGAGGGAACTTGGGCTCCGAGCGCCCAAGAGAAAACTTTTTTCTCTCTGGAGCTATGGCTCCTGTATGGATGTTTTGGTGTTCTGTAAGCTATAGTCTGGTTAACTCTGCAGGATGGGATCAGTGCTGGGTTGTGCCAAGGTCACAGCATCTATATGGGTCTCTGCTAAGGGACCCCCTTCCTGAGAACTCACCAGGTCATAGGAAACAAGTTGCTAGTCACTTCAAAATGTGAAGCCGTCTATAAATTTATATTGGCGTTTATTAAGTCAAATGTCCATGGGATCCACTTTGTTTCAGGCTTTGGCATGGGCACAGGGACCATCATGAACTCAACACAACTCTGAAAACCAAAAGGTCAATTCCACAGTGTGGGAAAAGGTCGGTGCATCCACCTGCCAACACAATTTTTTTTTTTTTAAGGATGAGGGTGATGTAGGGAAAGTGGCTTCCCTGCCTAATGCAGTGATGAGGCCTAGCTATAAAATAAGCCCTTCTTCCCGTCTCAGAAGCAAGCACACAGACATTGACAGTGCTCTGGTTGGCGCAGCTCGGATTTGGCATTGCAAGAGGAATGAGTGGTTTTCTCTGGGTAGAGTGGTTAGGACATGCTGTGTGTTCTGTAGCTCCCAGGCAGAATTGTTGTCTTTTTCAGGGTTGGTATTGGGGAGTTGATGCATGTCCTGGGTCGACCAGTTGATCATGTGACACTACCACCTGTCACTGCTGCCTTGTGTTTGGAGACAGGGTCTCACCATGTACACCCTGTTTGGCCAGGAATTCGCTGAGAGACCAGGCTGCCCTCTGCCTCCCAGGTGCTGAGGGTTGAATTCTGTGCTCTGTTTATGCTAGGGAAGGTGTTAGCAATGAATGGAATCTTTGCTGGGCAGTGTTGAGTTTGGAACCATGTCTGCAAGCTTGTAATCCCAGCGCATGTACTTGTTTTGGGGGCTAGAGTGCAGTAAGGTAGGGGGCTCATGTTTGTCTTGGGGTGAGGAAAGTCTGTGGGCATGGGGTTCAGAGGTGATGGGTTAGAACCAGAGAAGTTCAGTGACTGATAGGAAGCCACTTCCATTGGCTTCTCAGTAGGAGGGTGAATTGGGAATAGGAAAGCAGTTTTTCCTTAGTTTGGCTGAGAAAGGGTCGGGGTGAAAGACTCCAAGGTTCCTCGTGCGACACTTGGTGAAGATGGGGCCACCACTCTGCACTTAGCACTGCTAAGCTACAATGCCTCCTGAACTAAGGTCTGCAAATAAGTTCCAATGAAGGACATCAACCCCTCCTGGGCACAGCTCCCTAGGGCAGTGGGAAGACATTGAGGACCAATGCCCTGTCTCATTAACCATCTAAAATTCAGCAACAATTCTGTGGATTTACCTAAAGTTTTACCTTAAAAATGTGTGAGAGCCCAGGGTCTTGTTGAGGAAGAGAATGAGAAAGAAATAAGCTTCATCTTGCTGCTTACAGCCTCTACGTCCTTTCAAAAATCAAAAGGAAATGCATGTAGACTTTGGGGTGGCAGTGAGTGCCTTATAATTAGCTGATGGTTGGTTCTCCACAGATGTGTCTGTGGTACTGAAAGGGACTCTAAATCCCCATTAGAGAAGCTGGAGAGCTTTGCTGCAGTTTTCCTCTCTTCCTGGCCACTGTTCCTGCTGGGACAGTTGGCTTTCCTTTGGTGTTGTTGTGCAGACGGAGGGGGGGGGTAGTAGTGCAGGAGATTCAGGCACCTGCTGTGTCCAGGCTAATCTAATCCCTGGTCCCCTGCCCTGAGGAAGAGAGATGATGGGTTCTGGCGTTGGAGGTAGGGTAGTGGTTGTGGAGCATTAAAGGTGGAGTCTGGTGGTGTCACCTTGCAAGAAGATAGGAAGTGACACCAAGTGAGTCTGTCAATCTTGGCAGGTATATGGTTTAAAAAGAGAAATCTGAGGCTAGAGGCGGGCTGTGGAAGCAAGGCGAATGAACAGATCAGGGGAGCCCACTCAGCGGGTTGTCACACAACCCTGGAGCAGTGGGGCTGGATTTAAGATGACTGCCTGATTTTGCTTAAGAGGGAGGAAGACTGTTTCCTCCTAGCCAGGTGACCTAAGTCCCTTGTTGCCTAGATGGCATGGGACCTGGGTAGTAGTGCATGGGCTGTGAGTTTTGTCATTAAGTGCTCTGCAGGACTGTTGAATCGCCTGGGCCCCAGGGTCACATAGCTCCTGAGACTTGTTTTTATTTTCTGCTTGAGAATGTGAAGGAGGAGCATGGTGCAGAGAATGGCAGGCAGCACCACTCAACGCCTTGGGGCATGGCGTTCAAGGTTTTGCCAAAGCTTATTTGACAGACCAGGAGTCTGCCCGCAGGAACAGTAGTCCTGTATCTCCATGACAGATTCCTAGTTTACAGGACTCAACAACTGAAGGTGACTGCCCTGCCAGATCTTGGCCTTGTGTCTCCAGGGCTAAGCTGTACTGTAGAGTGGTCAGTTCCCTCTCGGTTGTCCTGCCACAGGCACGTGGAGATGGTCACCCTTGGGAAAGTTACGGGGGGTGGGGGAACCAGGGTGTCAAGCCCCAGTTTTGGTGTATGTTCTGTTTGCCCTGTAAAGTGGTGAGAAGTTGCCTCACTGCACACGGTGAGTGTAGAAAGATTGATCCTCAGACTCCCTCTTGCCCCACCTCCAGCTTCTACAGCACGGCACCTGTACCTGCGTGGTGGTGCCGGGGTTGGCTCCATGACAAAGATCTATGGAGGACGGCAGAGAAACGGTGTCAGGCCCAGCCACTTCAGCAGAGGCTCCAAGAGTGTGGCCCGCCGCGTTCTCCAAGCCCTGGAGGGGCTGAAAATGGTGGAAAAGGACCAAGATGGGTATGCAGGGTTGTGCCTAAACTAGGGTGGTCATTGCCCATTGTGACTTGTGAAGCTTTTGGGCCTCCCTACAAATGGAGGTACAGGGCCTTCAGAAAGCAAGCAATGAGGCCCTCACCCAGACCTCTCTGGCTCTGGGAAGGTAATTTAGCGACTGTCCGCTTTCATTAGCCTGCTCGTTAACTTTGCCCAATTGATTTTTCGGGGCTTTTGATCTAATGCTTGCACAAACGACATCTCGTCAGCTCCCAGGGGTCTCCCACTCCTGCCTTCCAGCTCCTTAGGATGCAGCTGGCTTGGCCACGAGTGGGGCTTGGCAAGAAGAGTGTGGTTCCCTTGCTGGGTGCTTGCTTTCTTCTGTCCTCCCCCAAGAGGCGGGGTTGTGCTGTGCTCATCTAGGGACTAATTTTTCTTTTTCTTTTGCACAGGGGCCGCAAGCTAACACCTCAGGGACAGAGAGATCTGGACAGGATTGCCGGACAGGTGAGGGGTGCACCAGCTCCTTTCCTCCATTGGGACAGGGATGGGCCAGAGAAGGTCACACTAAAATCTGCTGCTGCATAACCCAAGCTGCCTTGGACTTCTGTGAGCTGTATCTGTCTGCACAGTGTCCCTCCCCACCATACAGATCACCTTGGTTCTCATACTTACTGGGCACCAGATGCAAGCAATTTAGGAGAGGTGGATATTGGGGTGGTAGACTGGTTCAGGCACAGACCAAGTCACTGTAGAGTGACTTCATTCCCAATACCTTTTGGGTTGGGTGATCTCTCGCCTCCAAAAAACAGTGGTGTAAACAGTAGCCCTTGGGGTCTGACAGGTACCCATGCCTGATTTTCTCTGCCCTACAGACTGCACCTCTCCTGGGGTTCTTGGAAGACTTTAGCTTTGAGCTTGGGATCTCAGTAGAGGCCAGACACAAATGTTGGCAGTGACCTTCCCCTCAGAACAGTGAATGTGTGATCACAAAGCTGGAGGTGTCTGCAGTAATGGGGCAGAGGGCGTGGCTCTGGGTAGTGAACCGTGACAAAGCCTTTAGACCCCTCACTGATGATCCTTCTGTCTTCTCACAGGTGGCAGCTGCCAACAAGAAGCATTAGAACAAAGGATGCTGGGTTAATAAATTGCCTCATTCATAATCCTGGTCTGTGTGTCTGCTTTTGGTTTCTTGGTTTTTGTTTTTCAGTACAGGGCTTCCCTGGGAATCCCAAAACACCAGTAGAGCTGTGGTGATAATAGTGTGTCTGTCCTACCATCCTCTAAGGATGAAGGTGGATGCTGCAATCCCTGCCTGATGCCATGGTGCCTGTAAGGGGTGCCCCTGTGTGGTTATTGAGCAGATTTAACTTCAGAACAGCCAAGTAACTGTACAGTTGAATATGCTGGGCCTGAGCTCTCCAGAAAGCGAGCCTGGCAGCTTCCCAGGTGCTAAATTGTTGGTCAATCAGCCCTATCTCAAGGGAGGCCCTGAATTTTGATATTGTATGTCTGTTGTGCCTCACCTTCCTCCTCCCCAATCGGCAACATGCCAGGTGAAACTGGCTCCCTGCAGAAGGAAGGAACCCTTGAGTTTTTAAGCCCGGGTGTCTGTATGTAGCTTTGGATCCTGTTCTGGATCTTGCTTAGTGGCCAGTGACTATTCCAACCCTTGAGAAATGAGTGCCGCCCCTCCTGGGTTGAAACATAGGGACAGGCAGTTTGCTGTATCCAGCAAGCTTCTTGGGATGGATATCCTACAGCATTTGAAGGGACGAGTTCCTGGGTAACTGGACGCTCCAAGGCTGTGAAGATGTGACTTGTGTTAGCCCATGCAGCCCACCTCAAGCCCAAGCTACACAGGAATGTCCCTTTCTGTGGTCAAGTAAAGAGGAATGTTTTAGCCCAGCTGGTCACACGTCGTGAATAAGCTACTTCACTTCAGCCACTAGGGGGCAGCCACTACTGATAAAAGTTGAGTTCTGCCTCTTCTGAGGATCCCTGAGTAACAGCTTGGGACTCCAGCGTCCTGCCCTCTAAAAGCAGGCACCTCTAAATGTGGGAGGGAGGTGGCCTGTTGTGGAGAGTAAGGGAAGTAAGTTGCTTCAGGGACTACTGAGTGCTCTCTTAGTAATATCACCAAGCTCTTAAAAGGGGGCCATTATTACCAAACAGGAGAAATGGACTCTTAGAATCAGCTGATCTTGGTCTTGAAGCACAAGTAATAGTTTTTTTAGCCCAATGACCTGGCCCCCTGCCGTGTCCACCTTCAGAGTGCTGGGATTACAGTCAGTACCACTCATTCGGGCCACTTGACCTATTTTTAAATTATGAAATACTTCAGGCATGCTAAACAGTATTCAAAGCAGCCCTGCAAAGCTCCCCACCCATGGCTTTGAGGATGGCTCCAGTTGAGGACACTACTCTTTGAGGAGACCTCAGTTCAGTTCCCAGCATCCATATCAGAAGGCTCACTACTGTAACTTCAGCTCTAGGGGATCCAAAATCTCTGACTTCAGGGATCCCTACACTCATGTACATACATACCCAAGAGCAAGACATCTGCACAGAATACCAGCTGGGCAGTGGTGGCAAGTGCTTTTTATCCCAGTGTGGTGGGTCTAGGGAGTTCAAAGCCAGACTGGTCTGCAAACCAAGGTTCCAGGGCTACACAGAGAAACACCGTATTTTGGGGCTGGAGAGATAATTTAGCAGTTAAGAACATTGGCTGCTCTTCGAGGAGACCCATAAAGCAACTCACAACTGTCTGGGATCTGACTCTCCGACAGGTAGGTAGGTAGGTAGGTAGGTAGATAGATAGATGCAAGCAAAGCATCTTAAATAGCTTAAAAAATAATAAAAGACAAATAGGAAAAAATATGCATGAGGAATCAATTGTAACTCAGTAGCTACAACTTTGCCTGGCACAGGAGAGGCCCAGAGTTCCATCCCAAACACAGAACCAAACATAGTAGGGAATAAAGACACTAAACTACAGTGCTGGGTGTGGTGGTGCACACCTTTAATCCTAGCTCTCGGGAAGCAGAGGCAGGTGGATCTCTGTGAGTGTGAGGCCAGCCTAGTCTACAGAGCTAGTGCCAGGACAGGTTCCAAGGCAACATAGAGAAACCCTTCTGGGGTGGGGGGGACACTAGAAAGTCAAAGCCAGGTAATGGTGGCACATGCCTTTAGTCCCAGCACTCGGGAGGCAGAGACAGGCTGATTTCTGTAAATTCAAGACCAGCCTGATCTACAAAGTGAGTTTCAGAATGGGAAACTCAAAAGCTATAGAGAAAAACCCCATTTTGAAAAAAGAAGAAAAAAAAAAGGTTGTGTGAAACTATTTGAATCCTTCCCCAGCCCCAGTCTTTCTCTTCCCCTAGAGGTGAAAGTCAAGAGTGTACACATTTGTCTTTATCACAGGCCTTTGTCCCCAAACAGTAGGCAGTGTCATTTTGCGCTTTGAAACACAAGTCAACCCCATTACCTACACCCGGGTTCTTCTCCTCCCCATTTCTAACGCTGACTGCTGCTCTGTGGGGCTTTCAGCTGCCCTATTGAATATACTACAGCATGTCCTTTCTCCTGCAAATGTACCTTGGAATTGTTTCACGATTGTTCAAGCCAAAAAAAAAAAAAAAATCCTGCAATGAATGTGGTTTTTGTTTTGTTGATGTTCTAAGAATTGAACTTGGGACCTCACCAAAGCTGCTAAGTGCTATACTGCTCAGCTCCTCCCCAGTCGCTTTCAAATTAGTTTCTCTCTCTCTCTCTCTCTCTCCTTTTTCTCTTTTTGTTCTTGTTTAGTTGGTT